GTGGTGGTAGGTGTAACAATTGCTATCATAAAGCTGTCATAGGTACAGAATCACCAAATCCCATCAGTGTGTGATTTAAACATGCATAATTTTAGGCAAATGTTTTAGTATTTTGCTACCTTAGGGATATAATAAATAAAATATTTCAACGACTATGAAGGCCAGGGAAGAGACTCCCATTGATATCAAATGGATGTTGAATCAAGTCTCTGCTGTATCAGGGAAGGTTTATCTGAATAAAGTTTGCTTCTTCCTCTGACTTTAGAAGTATTACAAGGTTATATTATAGATAAGTGTGTGTGTTTTTTTCTAAAATAAATGTATTTTTCTTTTTTAAAGTCGGTCATGTTTCTTTTCTTCATATGAATAATTAAATTGCTTTTGGCTGACTTATCTACCTGAGCAGAGTGATCACAGCATAGACCCTTTCTTTTTGCATACCCAGGAGCATTATCTGGAAAATCTGAGAATGCATTGACTATGTTTTACATTATTATAAGGTTACAAGACACGAAATAAAGGCTTGGAAATGGCTCTACAAAAGATGTAAGTTCAATTTTATTATTTGGTATCAAGTGATTGTTAAGGGTGATACTGTTGCTACATTTATATGCCTCCACTGTAAATACTTGACTGATACTAACAATTCAGCCTGTAAGTGACTCTAGTATAAAGTTTAGTATAAGAAGCATTTTTCATTATCATGAAATTTTTTTGATGTTATTGTCAGTAATATTCTAATTTGCCAATGACTATTCTGTTTAATTAAAATAAGAGTATGTTTTTATGTTACTTTTTAAAATTATTTAGCATATAATCTTGACAATAGCTTTACAAAGTCTCTCATGATATCTTTTTCTAAAGATTTTTGTTTCTTATATGGTATTCTCCAGTTTATATTTTTCCAGCTACCAAAACCAGTGTGTCAGTAGGTTTCATTCTCACAAGCTTGTCCTCTTCTATTCTGGTTGTCATGCATTGGTCCAGGTACAACACAAATGGAGATTTTGCCACAAGCAAATGTGGTGCCCTTTCCAAATATGTTAGTGGGTTTTGTTGATCAAAAAATCATCTTGATAACAGCCTGTCTAGAATGTTTGACAACATGAATTAATTCTTGGAAGAGACTTTCTAAAGTACCAAAGGGAGTCAGGAACACAGTTCAAACTGGAAAATGGAGAACAGAACCCCAAACTTTGTTGACAAAGCTCATGCTCATCTCTAGATAGTACATTAAATTGTAAAGAAAAAAAAAATTGATTGGCTTCTAATAGAATTTGCGCTCCTGAAGCCATGAGCTTTCTTTGAAAATCCACTCCCCGCTCTGATCTTGGTTATCTTTCTCAATAGTCTAGTGGTTTAAAGCAAGACCTGTGTTCTTATGGAAGCATATATGTGAGCAGGTGTCGATGTGTATAAGTAAATGCACTGTAACTTTACAGCTTCTATAATACGGAGGAGTTAACCTGGAATAAAACCACATTGAAAAGGAATCACGGGGGAAATAAAATTGTTAGACAAACTTGCAACATGACAACAAATGTCACTGCAGCCCTTTAGAGTTATTTCGACTGTGTTTTAGGTAACTTTGTTTTGCTTCTCACAGAGACCTAATCTTGGAAGCTAGAACCTCTGTGCAGAGGAGCTGCAATTAGTTAAATACTGGAACCACTGCTGATTCGGTTGCATCCTCCAACATGACCAATCCTCAGTAAGTACCATGTGAGGATAGTTATAACTTATTTTAAATAGAAGGGAACAAGTTGTTACCTGTAGGAGAATGATGTGACGTCAAGAGGGTTCTATCAGTATTACTGGAAGGAAAAGTTGCTATTTTGAGAAGGAGTAGTAGGATTTGGTCGGTTGTCTAAAGAGTGTGAATTAGCAGAAAAAACACGAATGCTGTAAGCATGTCTGATCTGTTGCTAACAGACAGTGGCTGAAAACTAGTATGTCATATTATTTTCAGATTTGTTTGCCTTTTTTCTTTCCTGCCACCAAACCTGTCCCAAAGCTGTTTGCCAATGCCAGTCTGTTTGTCTGATTTGACTGAAAAGAAAAACAAATAAACCATGTCTGTCATTTAGTCTGTCTAAGAATACAGAAGGTAAATACTGTTGGGAGAGGGAAGGCTGCACCAACCCATTTCCTTTTTCCTTCGTAATACTGGAAATTGGATCATTGTATGCTCTTTTGTGCAAAATGGAACCAGCTTGGACTTGTAAAGGTAAATGTCCACAGGATAGCACTAAAGGTGAAAATCAAAGGAAGAAAATTCTTGCTAAAATTAGCTCCTCCCTCTGGGCTTCTGATTTCAGATTGTTTACGGGGGAATACTGTTCTGTCAGAAATGAATGAATCTCATTACTTTCCATTATTAGTTAGACGAACAATAAAATAAAGTAAGTCTTTAGGTTGTTCAAATAGTACATCCTTTTACCTCTACTTTCTGCCATAGTATGACACAGTTGCAGCCTTTCCCTGCCAAATACTTGATATATAACAGCATTTTCCGATTTTTAAAATTACTTTCTTGTGTAATGCTGGCAGCAGTTAGCTCCTTTTAATTTAGGAGTAATGTTTTCCATCTGAAAGGGTTAGTCTGATGGTGAGGCTCCGATCAATAGAATCTTTCTCTATCTCTTTCACATAGATTTTTTTAGTTCCTTCACCCACATCCTTAGACTTACAAGATATATGAGTTAAGAACTCTTCTAAATTATTAATCTTTTTCTGGAAAAAAAAGAACTGTTATTCAGGTTGCTTGAATAGCTGGAAAATTTTAATAAGCTTCTTTAAAACAAAATCACCAATGCAACTTTTGCAGTCAAATAACAGGGAAGGGTGCTAAGCACTTTTTAACTATATCCCTAAGGAAAAAGAGTATCTTCACACCTGTTGTTGAAAACCTCTGACAAGTAGCCTGAGATTTCTTCAGAAGTTAACAAGCTCCCCTGGAAGAAAGCTAGAGAAGTTTATGCTTGCACCTACTCTGAATCAAATGGAGCAAACAGCTTTCACTGGGTACTACAAAGGATCAATCCCTGCTGGGGCTTGACATGCAAGCTCTCTCCTACAATGAGGTCATCCTTCACATGCACTAGACAATATGCTGACAAAATTTGAGTTTCTAGATAAGTAGTATCTTGTTATAAATGTGGAAGACGCATACATAGACTCTGGTTTTACCTGCATGGAGTTCCCATTAATGTTAGTGGGGTGGTAGAAGAATACATGTTCATATTTAGAAGCTGTACATAAGGATAGTTAAGATAATCTTTATAGAGGAGTCCATAATTCTTCTGAATCGTTGTTCTCCTTTCAGAATTATTTTGAAATAACTTGTAACAGAATGATCCTTTCTAGTTGAATGAAACAAAGTCTCCATCCATCAAAACTATTTGAATATTGACCCACCGTGGAAAAGGGGTCAAACTGCATCCATTAGTTAACAGTTGATTTGTATATAATGATTAATAAGCTTAGCTATTCATTGCTCACTGATCTAACTTACAAAGCAGTGAGTTTTTAGTTGGCATAGTTACATGCCTTCTTTCTGTTTTGCACAAATATTTTGCTTTTGGGTTCATGCATTGTTTCTGTATTTGTTTGTTTATAACACATCCGTTTAATGCTTTTGAAGCAGATTCAGCAGAGTGAAATGCTGTTCTTATTTGTCTGTGAGGTTTCTGTTGATTGCAGTGGGATCTACGAAAGACAAGTTTGGAGAGATTTGGTCTGTCGCCTCAATGAGGACACCTTCCTCAATGACCTTGCAAAGGCCTCTTAAGTTTGCTGGCTTTTTAGGATTCTGTGAAGTTCTTGTCTCTTAACTTATTTTTACTTGCTTGCTTATTTATATTGTTTATATGTATATGTGTGTGTGGAGAGAGAGGGTTTTTTATTTTGCTTATTATGTTTTCAGGCCTACAATAGAAGGTGGTGTTTCAGAAGTTGAGATAATTTCACAACAAGTGGAAGAAGAGACCAAAAGCATTGCTCCTGTACAGCTTGTTAATTTTGCTTATCGAGATCTACCTTTAGCTGCACTTGATCTGTCTGTGGCTGGGTCCCAGCTTTTGTCAAATTTGGATGAGGAGTACCAAAGAGAAGGGTAAGTACAAAGGGCAGAATTTCATTTTATAGTTGTCCTCAAACTCTTTTTAAAACCCTTGTCACAGGATGGAAGTGACCTTTTCTAATATAACTAATCTGTGCTGGTTTGGGGCTCTTTATAATTTTAAGTGATTCATAGCTGCTATTTGACCACAGTCTGGAAGCCTTCTGTCAGGGAAAACTAGACCAAGCATCTAGCCCGTCAGACGAGCAGAATGGCCTGGTGAAAGCTCTTTGTGAAAGGTGTTTCAGGAGGGTTTCAGGATGACAGAGAGTTGGCTACTGTGATTCTTGTACATAGTTGTACATCTCCTGATTGAGAGATAATGACTTAGTACTGCTGATTCCTGGACAGACTGTGTACTTTTCACAGAATGATTTGAATTGCGTAGTTTGCTTAGATAAGAACATTGTCTTTGATAATGTATATACATATTACTCCTGTTTTCGTAGAACAATTGTTCCAGTTTTATTGGAATAAAAGATCTTAGTCAGTTTATAACATTTGCCCAGACATAACCCAGTGTCAGCTTATGTGGCATTGTCCTACAGGACACTAGAAGTCATCCTTATGCCTGGTTCAGGCTTGAAGTGGCTGTAGGTGGACTGCTATACTAAATTTTTTATGAAATATTTGGGTCAACTAGAGAGAATCCAGAGGAAGGCAGTGAGAATGATTGGAGGCTCGGAAAACCTGCCGTGGAGTACTGATTGAAATAACTGTTTGTGTTTCATGTGGAGAAGAGACTTTCAGGGGAGCTTATAAGAGACTTCACTGAGGAAGAGAACAGTCTGTTACCGATCTCCATGATGTTTAGGACAAGAAGTAAAAAGCTGGAATTGCAGCAAAGAAGAGAATAATGAGGGTAGCGAAGTGCTAGGCTAAACTCCTGGTATGTATGGGGAGGAGGGGAACAGAGTTGCAATCGCTAGATGTCTTTAAGAAGATGCATATTTCAGGAATGATAACACTATAGTTTCACATCCCTTGGGACAGAGATTAGGTGAGCGCTTGTGCCTAGCCCCTCTGATTCTGTGATTACTGTTCCACTGTGTGTCGCACTGAACGTATATATACTCCACTGTCAATAAGATCCATCTAAAAGCACTTCACAGTAAGTCATATAGAGCTCTAATTGATGAAGATATTAAAAGGCTTTATATAAGCCTCCATTTATTAACAGCTCAATGTGTTTTGTCTCTGAAATCAGCAGAGACTTGCTTGATCTCTGCTCAGCAGGTATTCTGTGTGGTAGTCAGGAAGCAGTATGTGGGGAAGGCTCTTGCCTTTAATTTCTTTCCAAATTGGACCTTATGAGACATCTCCAGAAGGTTGTTACTCCAAACAAGGGGAAATACATTTCAAGTAGGTTATATAAGTATGGTACAACTGTAACATAAAATACCCTGCATAGCAAAAGAGGCACTTGAAAATTAGTTTGAGTATGCAGGTGTAACCCTCAGGCTATTTTGGTGCTGAGTAAATACCAGTTTAGTTCAAATATGCATTTTTACTGATTTTTATGATCTGAAACTCAATTCTTCACTGTGCCAAAGTGCACAGATCTTTCATTGTAACTGTTTGAGCAGCTTTGCAGTCTTAAGCATGGAAATAGACTTGTCATTCTTTTCCTCAGCAGAGATCTCTTCCTTCACACAGGCTTCTTTTGTGGCTTTATCAGTCTGAACAGAAATAAGCAGGTGCCATCCAGACTTCCCAGCTGTAGAGTGGATTCTCTGAAGAAAATTCAGAGCTTTAGTTTGTACGTCTCAATGCATTTTGGCTGAGTATGTTCAACTGAGTCCCAGGACTGCATCTGCCTTGTGGGAATGGTGGCTTTTTCCTTTCAGAAGCACTGATCACAACTGATGCCCTGTGAAATTTAGGAGCAGAGCTGAGCTCAAGAAGCCCAGCAGAAAAAGTAAAATACTGTCCCCATACCACCTCATGGCTTAGTTGGGAATATGTCTGGTTTTATGAATGTGGTGTAATTTCTTTCTCATGGCCTTGTTAGATGTGACTGACTTCCACCTGAGTAAGAAGGAGATAGGGTGGGTCAGATCAGTTTGGTACAGGAACTGACAGCTACATCTCCCTCATGTATGAGGAGAATGATGTGGGAAGGGCAGCACAGGAGGTGGCAGAAAATGTCTAAGTCCCTGTGGTTTCTGCCAGCATCCATATTCGTAACTGTGAAGCTCTGTTACGCCAATGCTGCCATACAGGTTGCAGGTGGAGATACCAGAAGATACTGCTAATGCCAGAGAGTACTAAAATGTGATGTAGGACTCATCTTCCCCTCCCTGGCAGTCTGCCTTTGTTGCAGACTCCAGGTGTTACCTTCTGTATACTTTTCCCTGAGAATTTCAGGGAAGGTGCCAACCTGTATGACCTGCATATATTCTGTATGGCTCTGTTTTCTAGATCTGTAGCTGATCTAGGCAAGTTGTAGTTGTTCTAACTGCAAGGCTCTGCATCAGGAAGGTCTGGCACATCCCTGTGCTTGGAAAATGCTGGCTTGTTGTTACAAGCTGCATCTGTCCATGACCTTGTGGTTTTCAACATTATTGTCCACAATCCCTAGTTCCTGATGTGGGTTGCCACACTTCATCACTAGTAAGTCTCCATCTCCATGCACAGAGCAACAAGAGAGACATCAGACTAGAGATGAATGAGTGGGCATTAAAGGAGTCTTCTGATTTAATGGGTGTTGTGCACCCCAAGGCTTTCCTCTAACTTTCCTTCTTTAAGGCCAGAAGGTGTTCAGGGTCCAAGCGCAAACACAAATTTAACCTGGTTGCTAACTAGGGGAGCTTTTTGTTTCATCTGAGAGAATGTTTCTCTCAATAAACCCAATATTAATATGCAACCAGGAATAGGTGGGTCATAGCTCAGCCCTCTTTGTGTGCCTGGAGACTCTCAGATGGCATCAGACTAGCTACCCCTCCCATGAGAAATGAAAAAAAGAAAAGGAAAAGCAAAAAGAAAGGAAAATTATGGTCTGTCTTTTGTTAGACAGACCATATGTAAACTGACATTCACATGGCTTTAAAGATACTGGAATAAAAACCTTATTTTGTGCAGTTTGATGTGTCTTTGCTCTATCATATCAAATGCTCAGGGCAGTCAGTTCCCATCTGTCAGTGTTGTTGAAGGAATTTTGTGGACAGTTTGAGCTGTTTTTGTCAGAAATTTAGTTTACAATGCTGATCCCTGTGCTAGGCAACAAAGAAAGGATGGCAGATTAGACAGCGCATTAAGCCTGTCCCTGAAGTACACCTGTAAGTAGTGAAAGGGTAATCAGGCAAGAAAAACCTTTCCACTCTCCCAGAAACCCTCAAACAAAACACAAAATGTGTTGTCTTCTAATGTGGGATGAGCAAAATTTTTTTTCCCTCTGTAGACTCCTCAAATAGGGAAAGTACAAAGATTTACATGATGGAAGTTGGTTAAGTTGGATGGAATCTGCATTGCAAATATTCTCACTCATATAAATCAAGTGGGTGGGCTGGCATTGCCGCCTTTGCACTGAAGAGGAGTAAGGTGCTTGTGGTCTCCGCATGTGGGATAGGAGGGATTCCTGCATCTGGCTTGCTTCCTAGCTGCAGTGAGGCTGATGTGCCTGGTGTTAATAGAGCTATGAGTCTTACTCTTCAGAAAAAGGAAATTTTCTGATAAATGCCAACGATACGTAACTAAAACATTTTGAGTTTTATGTGACTATAGCAATCTCTATTTATAAAGGTATATCTCTTCCACCCTGTGTGGCACTGTGAAGAAATAGTAGCTTGGTTCTCAGAACCAATATGCGTATGATGTTCATTACTTATTAGTCCCACTGATCTGCCCTGCAGTTAACTTGTTAGAATCAACCTTAGATATCCCAGCTATGCACTGTAGTCCATGCTTAGGCATTGCAGAAATGATTGAGGCATAGGCTGGAGACATGTATATGAGAAATAAACTCATTCAAAAAATGTGCCTTGGATGCCAAGAACACGTGGTGTACACTTCTTACCTATCTGTAACAGATTAGGTGATACTCATGTACAAAAAGCAGCAGCAAAGTTGCTGATTTTCTTCGTGTCTGTGAATTTATTGGAGAGGCTGTGTCTGCATCGAACTCGGTTTGCATGAAAAGAATATGTAAATGTTTCTTTAAGGACACTAATCACCCAGAAAGCTAAGGAGATTTTTAAATGTTAACATTAGCTTTAAGTGCCACTCTTAATTTCTTTTTTTTCCAATCAAGTATTCTGTTTTCCAAAAAATACTTTCTCTCTTCTATTTTTGCATCAATGACCAATAGAAATGATGGGGAATAGTTGGAAAATTGACAACATGCAGGAAGTGGTACGTGTGTGCTAAAGACAAGCAGGGATAGGGAAAAGCTCTCCTTCCTGTATTTTCCTTAAGTTCCAATTAGGATGTATCATTCACAATAAATTGTAAAAGAATTTACAGACAGTTGCACAACAGACTGTATTTTTTTTGTGAATGTGCAGTTGGGCAGTGAGCCTGTCTCTCGATAAAGATCTGTGTTTAAAGGGGGTGGGAAGCAAGGGGAGAGAGATACAATAACTTTAAATTATTTGTTGTATTTATTTTCAGTTGCAGCTCTTGAATTTTTATGTTAAACAAATTTGAAACATGAAGGTGCTTTCAAATACTGTTTTACATCACCAGCAGTAAAGGTTGGGAGTTCATACAATTGATGTGACTCACTTGACATTAGCTGTAAATAGTCATGCCATTGTAATTTAATCATTTATGATCATCTATTCATAGCCTTAGATTTGTTTGGTCGCAGCTAGAAAGTGCGTTAAACAGTAGGAGTATCTGAAAAAAGAAAACTGTAGGAAGGGATAGAGAGAGAGATAAAAAGGAAGGGAAACCAAAACTGAACAGAGATTTACAGAGATTCAGAAGTTAACACAGGAAAGAGTTGTGAGCTTTTAATTTTAAATTGGTTGCAAGCCTTCACTGATGAATGTATT